AGGGCATCCACAGGATGGGGGCTGGGGAGAACTAGCAAAAGGCTGGAGCAACAGATCAGAGATGCCCTCTGGGAACTCACCTGAGACACCCAGGAGACTCAAGGAACTTGAGAAAAAACTGGCAGGGCCTGGGAGGTAAAGGTGACAAGGTGACAAGGCAGAGGAAGTTCTTCTGTGACTTCTGGTGAAAGCAGGGGTGGTTGGTGCTAACCTGGGGGTCGTGAAGAGAAAAGCAGCCAGCTGGCTACATGCAGCCACCTCTCAGTATGGCATGACCTTGCTGGGTGCCCACCAAGGACACAGGCAGGAATATTCCCAGCCATGGGCACCAGATGTATCTGTTGAGTCAAAGATGAAAAACTGCTGCCCATGAAAACACCTGCATGTGGGCTGGGCAATCAGAAAAAGACGCCCTTGTTCACTGGGCACTGCCCCTGTGCAGAACGAGATGCCGGTCCTCTGTGCACACAGCTCAGGGGAACAGGACTCCTGAAGGCACCTGTGGGAGGGCAGACCCAGAGAGAGAGGAAGGCTCAGAGTGGCCGTCCAGGCCAGTTAATTCAGCTCAGCAAGGCCAGGATGTATCTTCCACCATGCTTACCAGGTGACGCTGTGACTGCCAGTGGCCTCTCCAGGTTTGCAAGTCCCCCTCAGAATCCAAGATCTGTCACCTCATTTGAGATGCGGGGGGGGGGGGGGGGGGGGAAGACACCTGAACTCCAGGAAAACTGTTAGAATAGTCTGTGCAAAGGTGACACAGATGAATTTCCAAATCCATGAGAAGCACACAACGGAAGACACAACCTGCCACACAGGGCTGTCCTTTCTTCAGGAGCTTCTACTCTCATCTGCATGTGTGTGGACTACAAACTTGGTCCAGACAATCACTGCTCATGACAGAACTAATCCCCAGGCATCATAAACTTGGTGGATGAAGGTGAGCCCACTGGCTATGTTTGAGGTGGTGGGAATTTAGCATGGGCCGCATGCTTGCACTGTCCTCGACACTCTGCATGCCTCATCTCACACAGACGTGTCTGGCTTCAGTTACCACTGGCCAGGCACTGGAAGGAAATAGGTGCAATTTTTACATTACATAAAATTTGAAGTATGAGTACCGAGAGTTAAGGAATCCAAAGATTTATTTGTAAACAGTAAGTATTTATTACTTACATAGGAATTTCTAAAACACAGGCAGGGTGTGTAGGAGAAATAAAGGCTTGGAATTTAACTGTCAAAGGAGGCACAGTGGCTGCTATTGCAAGGACTTAATGCTGTTTTAAAAATGAGCTTGGAGCCCTGGCCAGGTGACTTGATTGGGTATTGTCCAGTATACCAAAGGGTTGTTGTTTCAACTTCCGATCAGGCACATGCCTGGGTTGTGGGTTTGATCCCTGGTAGGGCTCATGCAGGAGGTGTCTGATTGATGTTCCACTCTCACATCAATGTTTCTTTCTTTCCCTTCCTCACTCTCTAAAAATCTTTTTTAGTTGTTAACCCTCACCCGAGGATATTTTTTCCATTGATTTTTACAGAGAGTGAAGGTGTTGGGGGGAGACAGAGAGAGAGAAACATCAATGTGAGAGAGATACATCGATTGGTTGCCTCCCACACGGCTTGCAAGTAAGGTACATGCTCTTGACCAGAATTGAACCCACAGTCCTTCAGTCTTCAGGCCGATGCTCTATCCACTGAGCCAAACCAACCAGGGCTCTTTAAAAATCTTTTTTTTTTTAATGAGCTTGGTGCTCCATTTACTGGCAAAGTGGCAACCAATTGTTGGGCCACTTTCTTAAGACCAATATCATTTTTATCCCAAGTAGTTATTATAATGACAGGTACATAGTAAGTGCTCAAATATGTGTTCAGTAAAGTGGAGGAAAAGAATGCATCCCTATCCTCTTTCTTCAATACTGTGTGACAGTCTGACTGTGATCCCTGGTGTCCCTGGCGCCTCCCACATCTGAGTGCTATGGAACACTTGCTGTCCTGTCCAGACATCACAGCTACTCCACTTCTACTACCCTGAATCCTAATTCATTTAAACTCACATTAATTCACGGGAGTTATGCACTGATTCCATTAAGCAGAAATGCAGACGAACTTCATAATAGCTTAGAACATAAACACTGTGGCAGAGGAAACAACCCACCAAGCCACTCCTCTTTCCAATCCCCCAAAAGACCACTGATCTCTAAATGCCATAGTCCATCAAAGGCCAAAGGTAAATTTAAAGAAGAAGGCAGCAACCTGTGAGTAGCACCCAAATTGTGCAACCATCTGATGCACTTTTGTATTCTAAATCCACTCAGTGAGAGAAGGGAACCCCACATTATGGTGTGCCAGAACAATTTACACCATTCACTGCCAACACCTTCAGTTTGACACCCTCGTCTTTTATGGTTAATTAGAATTCCAATAGGGTACACATCAAGCACACATTTCTAATTCATCTAATCTGGTAAAAAATGACCTTGGCTCTTCAAGTGATGGAATAAAAGTCACTTTCTCTTAACTAAAGCCTTCTGATATTTTATTTCAAGAACATGTTAACTGTGAAAAATAGAGATTAAATACAGGTTGAACTGAAATACATTCTTGAAATAACAGCATAATTGAGTCCCAGTTTCATCATGCTCCAGCAAGCAAGTGGGTCTGAAAGGCTGGATGCAGGAGCCATTGGCTGTGACTGTGCTCAGTTCAAGCATACCGAACAGTGTGATCTCGACAGTTGTCCACAAGCTACTGTGCCCTGCAAATGGAGGAGCTGCACCCTGCTTTCAGGAGAGCCTTCAACCAGCTGTATCAGCAACTGAGTGCCATTATTCTCCCCCGCTGCCTTTTTGAAGACAGGCTATAGCTTAGACATTTCACTTTAATGAAGCTCAGAGCAATCAATAACAAAGATAAAACTTGGAAGTAATTTTAAAGGTGAAACAAACAGGTTCAAACACTTGGCTTACATGCACATTAATGCTCAACAACCCAGTCACAATAATAAAGGCCGATTTTGATCGTAAAGGCAAAGCATTGTATGAGATTACACACACACACACACACAGATATACATCCACACACACACATCCACACTCACACATCCAGACATACATACACACATATACACACACACATCCAGACATACATACACACACGCACACACTCCCACACACCCCCACTTACACACACACACACATCAAGACATACATACACACATATACACACACACATCCAGACATACATACACACATATACACACACACATCCAGACATACATACACACACGCACACACTCCCACACACCCCCACTTACACACACACACATCCAGACATACATACACACATATACACACACACATAGAGACATACATACACACACGCACACTCCCACACACCCCCACTTACACACACACACATCCAGACATACGAACTCTCACACACACACACACACATCCACATCCAGACACACCACACAATCTCACACACACATCACACATACACATACATACACGCATACACACACACCAACAAATACATATACAAACACATTTGCGCACACACGCACACACATGTGCACACATTCACACAAATCTACACATACACACATACACACACCAACACACATCTGCACACACATTCTCTCTCTCTCTCTCACACACACACACACACACACAAACACCCTTCTGCTAGGATACCATATAAATGAACCCACTAGCAGGAAGGTAGGCCCTGTGAAGGGTGCTTCATTGGTGATACGAGAATTCCAGATTTCTTTATCATTACAGCACTGAGATGACGGCTGCTTATGTGTGCTGGGCACTGCATGTACATTACCTCCTTCATCCAGTGAAGCAGGAGGGGTCTCTAGCTCTCTGATAAGAAAGCTCAGAACAGTTAAACCCTTTGCCCAGGGGCACGTGATGAGGAAGTGTGGAACTCCAGACTGAAACTACCTGTGCTGGGACTCCCAACCCCTGTGCCACTTTGGCCAACCACCAAGTCCCACCCCTTGCCCTCCTTCCTCACAGGGACCCGCAAAGCCCAGGGACCTTCCCTGCCTGCAGCCACATGCACGGGGGAGGCCCACCCTGTGTCCCAAGTCCCTGGCCGAGCTGCTGCTCATCCTGGCAACAGCCTGGATGCGACCCTGACCTCTGAGGTGTGAGAGGAAGTGTGTGAGGGTGGCCACCAACTTGGAGAGTGAACACCAGGGAAAGCAACCCTCCTTTCCCTGCTGGTGCTGTTCTCTTGAGGACATGATGCCTGAACCACTACATCTATCTCAAGACCCAGTGGGTGTGGCTAAGGGTGAGACCCACATGGTTGCAGAGCAGAAGGATGGACGAGTATGCATTCCTAAGAACAGATGGCACCATCTGACAAGCCACCTGCCCACTGCCACCCACACGGGTGGCTCACATCGCCTGCACAGGGCTGCCTGTGACTTGCCCTCAGAGCCGTAACTGGTATGATGCTCCTTCCTTGGGACCTGAGGCTTGCAGCCTGGGTTTGTAAGACGGCAGCCTCCCACCGGAAGAGCATCTGCAGCCCTGGGGCAGACTGTATCCACCTGGGTTGGTGCAGCTTAAGTTTGGGAACTTGGTCTCTAATTAACTGTGGTATAGACTGAGAGGAGGACTCTAACCACAAACCCAGTTAGCCAGTCAATCTGAAGTCTCTTTCAAATGTATCCTTAGTAACTGTTTGCCCCTGAGGAGGAAACCCTGAGGGCCTCAGCTTCCCAACTAATGTGATTAGCTACTGGAAGAGCTAAAAAATGGATGAGATACACTTACTTAAATGAGATATACTCAACCACTGGCACACAGCAGGCACCCAGTGAAGACCTGGCCCACAGGAGGCACTCAATTAGATTATTCACTAACTGCCACAAGTTGAAACACAACACAAGTGTGTCAGAAGTGCTGTTTCCACCCCCAGGGGCCTTTTGAAAACAAGACTATGAGGGACTTTGTTGTGACTCATCTGTCATGTCTCCAAAGGCTGGTGTCTGCCTCTTGTCATCCCAATGACCACAGTCAGCCAGCTGTCTGTCATCCTGTGAGTTGTCTGGCTTTTGGTGAAGGCTTCCAGGCACTGGGCCTCTTACTCTAGAGTCCTCATTGCATCCAAGACCAAACATAGCACAATACCAGACAGCCAAGTAGAAGAGAAAGGGCAAGGATAGAGCCCGAGAACACTTCCTGACCCATCACTTCCTGGCTCTCTGTCACTTTGTCCCTATATCAGTTCCTAAAGGTCTGCAAGTAGTAACTGTCACCCACTTTACAGGATTATGGTGACCTTTTTATTTTAAACTAGAGGCCCAGTGTGCGAAATTCATGCACTCCAGGGGGTCCCTCAGCTCAGCCTGTGCCCTCTCACAATCTGGGACCACTGGCTCCTAACCGCTTGCCTGCCTGGCTGCCTGATCACCCCTAACCACTTGCCTGCCTGACTGATTGCCCCTAACTGCCTCTGCCTGCCTGCCTGATCACCCCTAACCACTCTATCTGCCTGCCTGATCACCCCTAACCACTATGCCTGCCTGCATGATTGCCCCTAACCACTTTGCCTGCCTGCCTGATCGCCCCTAATTGCCTCTACCTCAGCGCCCCCGCCCCCTTCATCCGGAAGGAGATCCAGGAGGTCATTTGGCTATCTGGTCTAATTAGAATATTACACTTTTATTATTATAGATGTTAAGAAGTAGTCTTGAATTTGGAACCCCACAAAACCCATTTAGGAAGACATGTCGCCCATAAACTTCTCCATCAGTGCTGGTTAAAGGTGTTAAAGGGGTCACCTTATAAAACTAAAAACAAAACAAAAAACAAACTGGCTGAGAAAATTGCTCATATTTTAGCAATTGCAATGCTTGGTGCTGTTCAAACAGGACTTTTTAAAGATTACTTTATTAAGTAACACGTAATGACAACTATTGCAAACAGGCAAATGAAGAGACCAACAGTCCCAACCTTAGGCAATGGGTACTTGTAACTTGGTATAAAATTTCCAGGGGCTGCATAATTAACTGATTGGAAATGAACCTCCTCTCAAATGGCTCAGGTGAAAGGGAGAGGCTCTGCTAACCAGGTCAGGATTTCATCTGACTCTGATAACCAAAACCCTGATGAAAAAGATGCCAGAAAAGATGCCGGGGGTGGAGGGTGAGGGAGGAGAAAGGGGTGGGGACATGGGACTATTTCATGAACCAAACAGGAATGAGTACATTTTATACATGATTCATTCCCAATGTCTACCTGTAACTAAATTAATAAATAATCTAAGCAGATATTTGTTTATTTACATACCTAAAAAGTTTACATATCCCAATTGGTCAACTGGTCCAAAAGAAGGTTTGAGGGGCTTCTCATTGGGAAAATAAGGAACTGTCATATATTTAGTCACCTGCTACTGAGGCATATATAGTATTTGCTGAATAATGAGTGCCCGTCTAATTAAGAAACACAGCCACATCCAGCATTCAGCTTCGCTATGAGCAAGTCCAATGGAGAGTAAAGTACTGAAAGCCTATTTGGAAGTAGTTTTCAGCTAAAGTCCGTGAAGTGTATAGGCTTGCTTAATGTACAACACTCCATGCAGGACTTCTGCTTGCCCAAGAAGACTTCCACTGATTGTCAAAAATCGGTGAGTAAAAAACTTTACTTTTTCCTCTCTGAAGGTGATCAAATATAAGATTAGATTTCATTCAGACTCTTAGTCCTTATGAGGTGGGCCTGCAAAGAAGAAAGGACTGGAGGTCACACTTAGTTAACACAACAAACTAAAGAAAAAAAAATATGATCAAATGCTCCCTAGAGCTCAGGAAGCATGAACATACACTGAGAACTACATGTGCCTATAAAGTCAATCAATAACCCCAAAATCTGCTCAACAAAATATTAACCTCCTGATCCTAAGTGGCATTACTAAAAGTTCAGCTTCTTGACACATTTTTTTTTAAGACTCTACAAATGCCACCACAGGGTTCAAAGAACTGAGGTTACCTCCTAACCTCTGATCAAAGGCAATTCCCATAAGATGAACTGGGAGGATATCTTAAATATATGGTCATCAATTGTTTTACTAAAAGCATCACTCCAAATATTGTTTACTTCTCTGACCTTTAATTATGATACCTAGATAACAACAGCAAGGGCAGAAAGAAAATGTTGGCAAATATGCAACAACACCTGTAACTGGATTTAATCACAATCAAAATCAAAGAAAAACTTAATTTCTCTTCAGCAGTGATCCCAAGTATGAATATGCCTTGACAATTCCTGACCTTGACAATTCCTGACAATTCTTCCTGATTCACAGAGCAAAGTATGGCAAAGCAAAGTATGCCATATAACCCTAAAGCTCACCCTCCCAGGGTTTAAGTTCCTCACCCCAGAGATGCTGCAGTACTGAGTGACTCAGGTGGTAGCATTTTTCCCACATCTCAATATTATACACATTAGAAGGATTATTTAAGTAGTTCATGCACCACCAACTCCTTAAATGGTCAAAAGTACAGGAATATGGTTGTGTTCTCTAAAATGAATAATCGCAATAGATTGAGAATGTACTTTTTTCCCCTTTAAGTGGGCTTTTCTACATTTAAAGAAAATATAAAACGTGACTACCTTGTTTCTCGCACCAACATCCCATGGGCTATCTACCCTGCCCTCCCCCCCAAAACAGTTCCCCAGGTGGCAGAGGGTGTGAAATTACACATTCTAAGTAGCCTTTGAAACCAAATCACTGAAACCCTCAAGATAAGGCCTTTGACTGAAACAGAAGCAGTGGGTGCTGTACAATGTAGCTGCACACACAAAAAACCTCCAAGACCCTGGGAATGAAGCCCTGCCTAAGAGCCAGGAGAGGACCAGGGCTTCCAACAGACGGGAGTCCAAGAAAAGATGGGCCAAACACCCCTCCCATCTGCAAGATAACCTCTTCCCTCCTGTTAAACAGTTTGCACTTTGTGTTCTACCAACCCTGGTCACACACTTCCCTCTACCCAATCCTCCCTGGCCAGACAAGCAGGCAGGAGGCCCAGTCTTCCCAGGAACCAGGACCTGGAAAACATTAAGCACGAATTTTACCCAGGCAGGTGGAGGAGTGCAGAGGGATAGTCTGGAGGTCTAGGGAAAGGCTTTTTCTGGAAAGATGGAAAAGGAGCAAAGTTTAAGAGGGGGTGGAAGGGGGGGACAGCCCCAGCCAGCAGAGGGAATAGAGGTGACCCAGGGACAAGAAGACCTGCCCACCCCCTGGGAGGATGGGATGTTGGCACTCCTATGAACATGTAACAAGTTCCCCTGGGAGCACGTGGCACCACAGAGCAAGCGCAGATGGTAGGAAAGGAATTCTAAGGGAGAGGATGGAAGGAAGGCAGGTGCATACAAGAAGTTCAGAGGAAAGAGGGTAGACTGGGGGGATGGGGGAAGAGACGATGTCCAAAAATTGGCAAGTGGAACTTGAAGAGTTACATTCACGAGGTCCTTGGAGAAACGTAAGTTAGAGAAAGAACAAGAAGGAGAAGGTCACTGTAGAGCCACCTCTGTCTCCCCAGCCCCTCACCACTGCTCCCCACACCTGCAGGGACACGGGGAGACACACACACACACACACACACACACACACACACACACACACACACCCTGGAGCCAAGAGGGCTACCCACCTTTGCCAGGGGCGCGTTCCTGCTGGTCGTCAGCTCGCGCTGACTGCCAACCT